ACATACCTTTATGCATTTTGTGTCTTGACTCCTTACTTTCAATCGTTTGATCGTATTAAGAATTGAAGCTGACACATACAGCCTCGTTTTCAAACGCGGAAGTGCGCAGATCGACGCTAAAACCATTGTATTGGGATCCCTCTATGATACGTATGTGTATGATATACAATGTACAGTATGATAAACAATGTACAGTACATGTACATTGCACCTGTACTGCTACATATGCACAAGTAGGATGCATAAATCAAATTAAAACTGTCAATAAAACACTCAGCGCACTTAAATGTCAAGCAAAAATGATTAATGTGCAAGAAGGCATAAAGCTCATAATTTCATTGAAGCAAATACGACAGAAACAGCTACAAGCCTGTGCGTGCACAGAGTAGTGCGTTCACCCCTCTGACATATGGGCAGCCATCGATTTCTCTGATGTTCTTTTCCGCCACGGGCAATTTTTGCTTCATTGTTCTTCCCTCCCAAATGCCCGATGCACTTTCAGGCGGTACTGGAGAGTGGAAAGCAGTACGCTTGCATTTGGATGAGGATTTGGCTTTGAGCTGTCGGCGACTGAACGTGTCAGAGTGCTGTAGAGAGAAGAATATGTGAGGACTTCGAGAAGAGAAGCGCCGCTCTTGTTTCACAAAACACGAGGTTAATGATCCTGGGAAGATGCAGACTCACAAACAAAGGATGTCCAAGCATTGCAGCTTGCGCAAACCTTGTGAGGACTATGCCAGGTCTACACAAGAATGTCCTCTTTCTGAGACAGTGTTACTCTTGGAGGCAGTTTGGAGTTAAGGTTATCTGCAGCAAGAGGAAGAGGAATGGTCCCGGAAACCATTAACAAAACTCCAGCTACACGTTTATATCAGTGTTCGCAATGGAACAAAATAAGTATTTTCACTAGGTCACAGAGTTTTCCTTACATTAAAACAAATGAATGTCTATCCGCTCCGAGCAGGAACAAAAGAGGGCATGTTTTGAAATGAAATCGACAGCCCTTTGGTACGCAGTCACCACACAGGTGCGCAAGTTTAGGCGCGTTTGATGCAGAGCACGCTGAGTATGCGCACCAAATTTATTCTGGAATGTACCGGTATGGTCTTCGCATGCACGCCAAATGTATGCAAGAACCGAAGTGTCTTTCTTTCGCCAGCGAGGGTGCACTTCAGCTCAGGGCGGATAGGTACCGATAGGTAAAGTAAACGTGTTCAGGGTGTGGATACTGTGTTCAAGGCATTGAGTAACCTTTATCAAGTGAACATGTAATAAAGGATTTGATTCTGCCGTATTTCCTGATGAGTAAAAAGGCTCCAGAAATGAAATTATGATTGCAGGATGGAGGTATCAGTGGGAAAACTGACTGTTGTGTTACCCGTGCTGCCCGACTGCATGGCTGACAGGTGAATCCACAGCGTCTATACATGTACTTTACATTGGGTTTATTGGAGAAAAGTATAAATTGGAACCCGACCATGTACTCGCACCATACATTCTACACAAAACCTGGACTCACTGCGATGAGAACATCTGCTGCATGGGCCCACTTCGTAATGGCACTCCACAGTGGAAACATCCAGAAAAAAAGGTTTTAGGCTGTCTCGTGGGAGAAAACCAGCACAGTGAACATGAGAACTGAACATCTGCAGTATCCATGGTAACCACCCTAGGGTATCAATCAGACCCGTGACAAAGGCAAGGAGAGACTCCATA